TTTAAAAATCACAATTATCAAGATGTATTAAACACAAAAAACATTCTCAAATAATTGCCTATAGGGCAGCACAGCCTTAGACAACAGTAGGACTAGAGGCAGTAACAGCACACAGTTTTGCCTCGTGCTAGTCTTCAGGCATGCTTGCATGTGGTAGGAGAAACAAATATTTACAAAGAGTTCCATTTATTAAACTTAAAACTTATTAAAACTTCACACATTGGATTGGGTGCTTTTGATTGGGGTCCCCTTGGACCCCAAAACATTTGGATTTTTAAAGCACTAATCAAAGTAGAAATGGAAAGCAATAATGTGACATCATTGGGAACAAACTGACTGACAATACTTCAGCGGTCTGTGCTCACCCCAGTTGCCAAGATGAAGGTTAAAATAATAAGTAAAGCAGTTTTTTTTTTCTCCAAAGCTGGCAGAGTCATGCAGTGACTGACTGCAGTGGAAAAGTGTTAATTGGCTTACAGCCATACCACCCAGGTGCTGTAAGGCTGTGGCTCAGGTGGTAGAGCCGATCACCTCCTAATTGGAAGGTTGGTGGTTTGATCCTTGGCTTCCCCAGTTTGCATGCCAAATATTCTTAGGCAAGATAATAACCCCAAGTTGCCCTCCAATGCGTTCATCGGAGTGTGAATGTTTATTAGTTTGCACTTGAGTTTAGAAGTGCTTCTATGAATGGGTGAATGAGGCATGTTGTATACAGCGCTTTGAGTACTGTGGGAGCGTAGAAAAGCGCTATATAAGAATTAGTCCATTTACCATGATAATCGTTTGGTTGGAGGCTTTGTATTTTCTAGTTTACACTTGAAACTTTCTCTCTGAGCTGCACTGCAGTTGAGGAAACTTTGCATTGTTAGTTTCAGTCTACTTTTCTTTACAAGACAGTTTCCTTCTTCCAGCAACGCCTAAAATTGCGAAGTTCTGTTCCCACTCAAAGAGCGTTATGTAGCATTTGAGGTTTATATAAACAACTCCTCAAACGCAACAACACAAGTCACTCATGAGGAATGAGGAGGGAGGAAGCTAGATCGTGAGAGAAAGAGAAAGGGAGAAGCAAGCAGAGGAAAAATCTGAGGCAGAGGAAAGTTAGGTCATTCTTTTCTGCTGATCATTGATGGGTTTTAAAGGCTCTGGCAAGTTGTTGCTTTCACTGCTTAACATTTTCCAGTTGTTGCCTGACTGCTATTTTATGAT